GGCCCAGGGACCACTTAGTGTAAGTGTTGGGTCCATAGGGTCCATATGATGGGCTCAAGGGGTTCACTGGGCTCACCAGTGAATTCGGCTAGGCCTTGTAACAGAGGTTGGGCCGAACACGTGGCTGGTGTGTAGATCAATGCTTGGGTCCCATGCTATACAAAGAAGCCCAACTGGGCAGCTGTTTGGAAGACTTTTGAGCACATAACCTTATTGGGCCTAAAGCCCATTTCGAACTGGGCTGATTTGATCAGTCATTATTAAGGGGCGGATCTGAGATTAGGATGAGCCCAAAAGCTTATCTAATCTGCAAATAGGATTAAGAAGAGTCCTATCTGGCTGTCCGATTCAATAGCAGTTCAAAAACCATGAATAAACTTAAACCTTTTCTTTTATTTTTTGCGGATGGAAGTGCAGCCTGCGTTGTAACATGTAGATGTATAGCTCAGCCGAATTCTTGTAGGTGGATCCAGTTGGTAGGGTTCAACCATATATGGTTGGCCAGGTTTGAAAAAAATAAGTTTTGGGGGACAGCCGGTTAAGTTGAGGTTGGAACGTTCGAGGTTAGGTTAGCGTGAAGGCAAACCCATATTGAACATGACTCATTGGCATCCCTACAAGAGAAAGCTAATGGCAAAAAAATTATTGTTCGGGTGTAACATGACCCAAGTCAATGATTTTAACAAAGGAAGGGATTTGAAGTGAAACAGATAGGTTGCCTGGACGGTTTCTGGGCTGAATGGTTGAACCGTCCGGATCAACGACTGTTCAAAAACCATGACCGGACGTGAACGTCGCCCATTTAAGGATTTTAAAAATGAGCTCATTTCCTTGATCTCCCCTTACACAAGTTTTACAAGTACAATTGTTGGAAACATCTGAACGAGTGAAACATCAAATATAAATTCATTATAACTTAATGGTGAAGTCATGTAATATTTGATTTATTTGGAGTTTTTCTTGCAAAAACGGCAGTTTCCATTGTTGAGGGGAGGGATATATATATATATATATATATCAGCAGTACAATAATATAGGATATTAGCAGTACATCAAATTAATCCAAGGAATAGGCAAGGCAACTGAAAATCTGAAATTCTACGTACAGATGTAGGGGGGCCGGGGAAGTTGGGCATTGGAATGGGAACGTCGTCATACTGAAACTTCTTCTTAAGTCGTGTTCATGGTGGTATCGATAGAGGACTAATTGAGATGGATCCATGCATGCCAGCGCAGCTAGCTAGGAAGAACGATATAAAAGCTGTCTCTCGTTAAGGCCGGTTTTAATTTACTTGACAGAACGCTAAGTAGCGTGCCAGAACACACTGATCTGATCATGAGTGATGATCACAGCAATATCGTTGTGTCCCCTTCTCCTTGTGTACTTACTTGTACTTGATGAGGAAGCTTCTACATGATGAAGGACAAAGCCATTCGCCATTCAGGTAACGCCATTTGGCTAATGAGGTCCAGATCGATGGAGTCCATTCAATCCTACCATCATCACCACACTCCAGACCCCAGAGTGTGTGTCATTCAGAACCAGTTCGGCTTCAGTCGGGTTCCAACAGCTTTTACTGCCTTGTGTTAAAAATATATCTGTGTATTTATCTCTCTTCAAGAGAGGTATTCGCAATATAGAGTTGGGAGTTGAGAAAGGCTGTTTGAACGATGTGGGCACAGGGGGTTTGCCTTGATGGAAGCCTATCTCGGTGATGGCAGCCTTCAACTTCATACGCTTTCATACACATGACATGATGGCAAAATGAAGGTGGAATTGGAATGGGAGCCTTTCCTTTTGGTTTGGTGGCCCCCTGGCTCCTGGTTGTGGTGGGGTTGTCACTTGTCACCTGTTTGGGAAGAGAGGAGATGATACTCACATGGTGCATTGTGATTGGTCCACTATTACGTACGATTGCAACTTTAGAAGATTCGAAACTCAGCAACACTTGCAAAGTTTGATAACAACAATAACATATTTGGTACTTGGTGCTTTGGGATGGAGGCCAACATTCAAAGCATATCGTACATCTTTCGTCGCTACCTGACGGTTCAGCCGAGCGCTGACACTCCGGATCACCTGCCAAAACAATCACGTTCGTTCCAAGTTTCCAACCCCCTACCAACATGATTTCACAATACACATCTCATACATAGCCATGACGTGTCTAATCTTATGGTGAGATATGTAGTATTGGATCAAATTAAATCAAAGCCCATTCGAGCAGCTCTTACTGCTTTACAGTGAGAATATTTCTTTACTTTTTTAGGAAATTTTTCTAATGCAAAGTTGTAAAAGACTGTTAGAATGGTGTGGGCACAAATTTATCCTGATAGAAGTTGATCTCCTATCAAATTCTTAAAAGACTCGCAGCTCTGAGTTTACATCTAAATTTCATAGAACATATTTCTTAACATGCATTGAAAAATCTCCCGTAATTGTCATTGAAAGATATTCCAGTATACAATTGGAATATACTGTGGGGCGAACTCTACGGGATTGCCAAAGCAAAGGCCATGGGTCCATTGGAAGATATTCCCAGTATACAATTGAGATGAGTGAGGATTCAGTACTGGGGTGTGCTCTTCATCGAGCAAATCATGAGCATCCTACATTCATCATTGGCTCAAAAATTCAAGATAATGGCTTGCCAGCTATGATAAACACGTGAAAAGATTCTAATTACAAATGACTAATTATCCATATCTAAAAAAGAAACATATATACATACAGGAGTTGGAATTGGAGTGTGCTGGTGGGCAGGAACCTTCCTATAATTATGACCACACATAAACAATGAACTTGGTGGGTTGACATATCACCACACACACCATGCGTGYAAAGCAAATAATCTTTCAAATTGGTTTTTTTTTTTTTCAAGCCTAATCTTTTATATTGATTTGAACGTGGTGAAGCAAGCACATTATATGTTTTTTTTATTTATATTTTGAGTTAGAGACTTTTTTGGGAATACCCAAAAAAAATAATAAAACCAAAACCGCGTTGACATGAACAACAATTTTGGGAATGATAAAGAAGTCAGTCTCTCTATTAATTTAACGGTTAAACTCTAAACACCCACCCCCTAACTATGGGATGTGACACTTCGCTACCTGAGACTGTCTCAGAAGTTTGAAATACCTCCCAACTTTCACTTGTATACCAAATAACTTTACAAGAATGATGGTTCCGAAGCTCAAAGTACATTTTGGATAAGTGTCAGCTTGGAATTGATGTTAATTTATAGGCGGGTATGGATTTTGACTTTTTGAGTGTTTATAGTTTTGTGGTAAAAATCAGAAATCTTCATTAGGCCTGTCGGTACTTTTCCAAATAACTTTCTAAGGAAAATGAAGATGTTTTAAGGCTTTTTTTTTCAAAAATTTGTATTATCTTTTTAAACATCTTTTGAAAAATTTATAATGTCGGAAAGACATAATACTGGAAGAGTTTTGATGAATCCAAATCCATCTTTGAATTTTGATATATAAATACCATTTGATTGATTAACATGTTTATAATATCGATTGATTGATTCACASGTTTTTTTAGATATAATGTCTTTCAAGTATCATAACCCCTTTTTTTATAGAAAAAGGGTTCTCTTTGAATAAATCAATATAAAATAGTTAGCTTTTCATGCACGACTCTTTACTGCTTAATGTGGTTTGCACCAGATGCCTGAAAATCGAGAGCAAATACTTATTTCAGTGAAAATAGAGAAATATAGAACAAAAGAACAAAGACTTATTTCAAATGAAGATATAAGAGAGAACAAAACCAAGCCACACATGCCCAATGACGTACTCTAGTTATCTTCCTCTCTTCTCACCGAGAGTGCATTTGATTTAAGGTAGATTGGACACTACCCAAATCAAAATTAATTTGGACAGACCAACAAGACATATTGAATTGGACCAATCCAGATTTAATAGTCCAAAATATTTATTGGATTGGATTGGACCTAGTCTATCGGTAACGAATTTATATTAGATTGAATTGGATTAAGTCAATATCTAATCTATTGATAGAAGATAAGAATATAGATGTCAATGGACAAGGTTTGGATTAGAACTAATCTAAATTAAAACAAATTTGTACAGGTTAGATGGTCCAAACATTGAATTGGACTGGTCCAAAATTGTGCAAAATATTCATTAGATTGGATTGGACCTAGACTATTTGTAATGTACTCACATAGAACTGGATCAAGTTGGACCTAATCTAGTTCAATTGACACCTCTACATTGAGGAGAAGATTTTGATGGGATGGAAAAGGATGGAATTGTATGGGATGGAGCACAGAAAATGGGTGAAATTTTTTCAAATTCTATTTTTTAGTTGTTAAAGAGAAAATAATAGGAAAACCAGCCCCATTAATATTATTAATTAGTTAAATACTAAATAATATTTAATTAATAAATCAACCCATTAATTTATAATATGCTATTTATTATTTATTAATTTATTAATTTAATTTTTATTGTTAATTTTTAAATAATTATAATATTTTATTATTTAACATTAACTAATATTTTAATTTTTGTTAGTCTATATTTTATTTTATTAATACTTATTTGTCTAAGGTTAATTTCTAAGGTTAGTATTTTATTAATACTTATTTGTCATCACCCTACGGAGATGACAATTTGGAATCCGGATCTTCCATGTGTGATTGCGATGTTATGTGAATAGATATGAGCAGAGTTTTTGTGGATAGGAGATCCAGACTCARCAAGAATCCGGATCTCCTACCTATGACAAATCTACCCACGTCTACCTACAACACACTACCCCAATGAATTAGGAACATCTCCCCCTATATAATACTATATAGGAGAATGAGATATTCTCCATATGTCCCATAGACTCCATCCCGATGGGGGCGGGGTGGGGGCAAAGTCGAGGATTCCCGTTTCCCATGGTGTTAGGATTTTTATCCCCGTCGCGATTCGGGGCGGAGAATTTGAATTCGGAATTGGGGACGGGATTTTTAGCCCCGGCCCCGCCCCGTTGCCATTCCGCGCCCAAAGAGGTTTAAACCTTAATGGTTGGTTCTTCGGATTGAGGATCAGCATATGCTGAGTGGCAGTGGCGGGGATAAAATTGTAATGTCCACAGGCTTCTTCGTCCGTTAAAAACTTCCTGCACGGGCTACGGAACTAACTGCTTGAGAGCGAAGGCGAGACGAAGAAGCGGCCGCTGCAACTTACCAACGCAGTACGAACCAGAGCCCATGAAAATCCAATTTTCTCGCCCAATCATTCGAATTTACTTCCAAAATATAAATACATAACCTCCCTATTCCTCCCCTCGAAAATTCCCAGTCGTCGAACTACAGATTCTCCTCAAGCGCTCTCTCTCTCTCTCTCTCTCTTAGTAAGTAGTCAATTTGCGTTTCACTTTATTTCTTTTTCGACTTTAATGTTTACTATTCCATATGCTTTCTTTCTTTAATATTATGCTTTGAATGTTCGCTTTGTGCTTTTAGTACTGACAAGTTCACTGAAGATCTCATCGTCTGTGTGTTATTCCTAATTCCCCCCCACCACTGTGTAGTCACTACTCACTACTGGTATGGGTCTTTTAATTTCATTTTGTGCTTTTGCACAACTTCGCCCTTCAAAAAATTCGTTTTACACTTTTACTTCCGAAGTAGAGAGACAGAGACTGGTTTCAGATTTTCTCCGCTTTCCTGATATGCTGTTCAAGTATCGTTGGATCCGGTTAAGTTACAACAATAAAAACTTAATAACACATTCAAGAGTTATTGGCCAGTTCCCTTATTCCTTTCTTCCTTTATGTTTTCTTTGAAGTCTTGAAAGCAGCACTTTGATGTTCTTAAACTCGAATTTCTTGTAATATATATATATATACAAAGAGATACAACATTTTATCTTTTAGTTCTTGAACAAAATTGCTATTGAAAAATCTAGGTAACATCACCCCATCTTTGCAACTGTTATTTCTGCATTCCATCCGGAAGTTGTAAGGTTTTCATTTCATAATTGATAATTCATACCATCGCCATCGGTTGACTGCACACGTTTCATCTCCCCCACCCCTACCCAAGAGATTTACTATTTTAGTTTATGATTATTATTTTTTATAATTTGCCTCTCCTTTGAACTTCTTTGTAGGAGGTCCAGATGGTCTTTACTCTTGAGACGATTTGTTTACAAATACTGTTTTGAATAAGAACTGAATTACAAGACATTACAATGGAAGAAAAACCATTTCCTGCCTGGTCTTGGTCGGTCGAGCGGTGCCTCAAGGAATACAGTGTTAAACTAGAAAAGGGCCTGAGCTCCTACGAGGTTGAGAAGCGGCGAGAGAGGTATGGCTGGAACGAGCTTGAGAAAGAAAAGGGGAAGCCTCTATGGTGCCTTCTCTTGGAACAGTTTGATGACATGCTTGTCAAGATTCTACTGGTTGCAGCCTTTATCTCACTTGTTCTTGCTTACTTGCATGGGCACGAATTCGGAGAGACGGGCTTTGAGACCTATGTGGAGCCTTTTGTAATTGTCATGATTCTTGTGCTTAATGCCGTAGTTGGGGTTTGGCAGGAGACTAATGCTGAAAAGGCTCTGGAAGCCCTTAAAGAGATGCAATCTGAGTCTGCCAAGGTTCTTAGGGATGGTTACTATGTTCCAGACCTCCCGGCACGAGAGCTTGTCCCAGGTGATATTGTGGAACTACGGGTTGGAGATAAGGTTCCTGCTGACATGAGAGTTGCAGCCCTGAAGACCTCAACGCTGAGAGTTGAGCAGAGCTCACTGACAGGAGAGGCARTGCCTGTCCTCAAAGGTGTGAACCCCATCTTTATGGATGACTGCGAATTGCAGGCTAAAGAATCTATGGTTTTTGCGGGTACAACGGTTGTAAACGGGAGCTGCATTTGTATTGTTGTTAGCACAGGGATGCGTACCGAGATTGGGAAGATCCAGACACAAATACATGAAGCATCACTAGAAGAGAATGATACCCCTCTGAAGAAGAAGCTCGATGAATTTGGTGGAAGGCTGACAACTGCAATTGGGCTTGTTTGCCTTGTTGTATGGGTGATCAACTATAGATACTTCCTAACCTGGGACCTCGTGGATGGTTGGCCAAAGAATTTCCGGTTCTCTTTTGAGAAATGCACCTACTACTTCAAGATAGCTGTTGCCCTCGCAGTTGCTGCAATTCCAGAGGGGCTTCCTGCCGTAATTACAACTTGTTTGGCCTTGGGTACCAGAAAAATGGCACAAAAGAATGCAATTGTAAGAAAGCTTCCAAGTGTGGAGACATTAGGATGTACTACTGTAATTTGTTCAGATAAGACTGGGACCCTCACAACCAATCAGATGTCGGTAACTGAATTCTTCACATTGGGAGGGAAGACAACAGCATCTCGAGTTTTTCGTGTTGAAGGCACAACTTACAACCCYAAGGATGGGAGCATTGTGGACTGGACTTGCTACAATATGGATGCTAACTTGCAAACCATGGCAGAAATATGTGCAGTCTGCAATGATGCTGGGATCTTTTGCACTGGTCGCCTCTTCCGAGCCACAGGTTTGCCCACTGAGGCAGCTCTCAAAGTTTTGGTTGAAAAGATGGGGGTTCCAGATGCTAAGGCAAGTAACAGGATAAGAAACACACAGCTTGTGGCAGACTATTTGATTGACCGCAGCACTGTCAAACTAGGTAAGGCAGTAACCTGCCATTTTTGTTTCATGTCTGTTCTAAGATGGAAATAATGCAGTTTCAAGCTCTTATTTATCTCTGCATAGTCTAGGTTGTTGTGAATGGTGGGCAAAAAGATCGAAGAGGATTGCAACGTTGGAATTCGATCGCATTCGTAAGTCAATGAGTGTTATTGTCCGGGAGCCAACTGGACAAAACCGACTTCTTGTCAAGGTGATCATTTATGATCTATTTGCTCATTATATTAAGAACCTCAAAATATCAATATCTTAGATCCTATACTTCCATATAAGTCATTTTGCCTGTGTTATTAGTTCTTGGATGAAATTGTTGTTAGTTAAATAAGTGGAAGTAAATTAGTTAGATTTCTTTACTGCTTGTTCATGTGTAGCAGAGCTTTCTACAAATGTGCAAGTGTCTTCTTTTGCTTCACCACCCAATTCTTGTAAATGCCTTTATATAACTGGAGCTCCCTGAAATGAAACTAAGAACACCAACTGCTTGCCTTTGAAGTTTCATATGCTAATGAACATAAAACTGTACTTGATTTTTTAACGACATTGTGGTGCATCACAAATAATCTACCAGATAAATTGAATGTCTGGACCATCAAAATGGCTTCCGAAACTTAGTTAATTAGTGTCAGCCATCCAAGTAATGTACCAAAACTTCAATAATCTAATCCATCCAAGTGAGGCACCAATCAACCCAAAGATCTAAGCTGTGAAAGTGGTCTGCTAAATTGGTTATCTCAATCATCCAAGTGATTCCAAGAATTCAACTAATCTAGGTGGTCCAACTAATATACCAAATCAACCCAAAACCAAGGCCATCAAATTGTTCTCCTAGAGCCACGGATTAATCTTGCCCATCCAAGTTATGTACCAAATTAAACCAATGATCCGGTTTGTCAAAGTGGTATCCATAAACGAGTCAATGGATCTAACCCCTCTAAGCCATATGACAGAGTTTATCTTTTCCATTAACCAAAATTGGACATCATCACTGTCTTTATTTTAGCTTTGAAAGCATAAAAATGATATGTGCGCAATTTGGCAATTTCTCACTCACCCCCAAGGTACAGGGCAGGTCCCTGTAAAGAAATGATAATCAAAAGGCTAGAGTCAGCCCAAGCTTTGTTAATAAAATAGAAAGTAGATGAGAAAACATTCTAAGACAAAATCTAGGGCTACTTGTCTGCCTGCAAGAGGGACAAACAGAAGATGGTGATTCCTTCTTGGAAAATGTCAAACAATGCTCTGCAGGGCCAAAACTCAACCATACCAAACCTTGCTTTAGCGATAGATCCTTACTATCCACTACTAATCTAATTACCAAAACAACCCCAAATAACAAAGTACTCTTAAGACTTAATGACTACTTAAAAGCTCTCACTTTTGGAATGATATTTATTTTGGTCACTGAAATACTGCTGAAAAATACAGATAACATACTAAATCTGTGACACAGAGAAGATTTTTGGTCAAACAGGGGTACTCTGCATCAACCACCCYTAGTTAATAATTTGTTCAACTCCTTTTCATCCATCTGGATATTCTTGCTAGCTTCCTTACCCAATCATTTCTCTGAATGTGGGCTAAACTAATTGTCTCTCCTTGAGCACACTTACTCTGACATATAACAGATCTCTGATAATGCCCAATGGCCTTGTAGGAAGCTGGCCAACTTGTGATGCAATTGGATTTACATCTTCCCCATCTAACCACCAAACCTTCTAGAATATCAGATATAGCCTACCTGTAAGTCTTGGTGCAGGTAAATGGTATAAAAATTTCAGTTATTCTTTAGCACTTTGAGAAGTCCAAATTTCCCTGGAATTAGCTTAAGATAAGAGCAAGTAGGGAATCTATCTTTCTTCAAGTGCAGTAACTCAAAATTTCCTTTATTGAACCCTTTAATGTCTTTCACTGCCTGTTGTCTGATGGCCGTGCACATTTCTATTGTTCTTTTTTTCCTCACTAGTGTAGGAGTATTTGCTATGCATGTGTGCAAGATAAAAGGATTTAAAAAAGAAAAAACCGATATGCTATGACGATACTAAAATTTAAGTTTTATTGTCTGCACAAAAACAGACAAGTATCTGCATTTTATGGTATAGATATTTGCCAATCAGCACATGCATCAATCTAGTTTCATTTATATTCAAAATGCCATGTTATCAGGAAGCCATTTACTTTTCTGGCCATAGGGTATTTGCAATTTCCTCCTTAAATGGGTGTGGGATCTATTTATTCCTATCCTAATGGAATAAATACTGTTCTTATTGAGGTGGAGCATATTGTACTCAAGCAACCATGATTTTATATGCTTAATGAGTTAGAATTATGACCAGAATATGCAAGTATGCATATCGAACTGCCATATGGACCAGGACCAGGACTTATGATGAGGATGAAATGGCATTGTGGTTTGAGTTACTTTTTTTTCTATTAGCCCATGCAACAGTGCACAATGAAATAATTGTTGTCTTTGTTGGTAGCATAGATGTGAAATTTTCTAATGGTAAATTCATCTAAGTTGCTTTTTCACCTAAATGATTGGGATAAGATTCAACTGTATTGTTGTGGTAAGATATGGACTATGGACACACTCATAACACTACCAGTATGACCAGGTAGAGTTGATGTCTCTGAACAAGGATGTCATTTGTGTTACATGTAATTGAAACTATGTTAAAATTAAGATCTCCGACTTTTTAGGACGGTTTATCTGCATAAAATCATTTGGTTAGTTAAATGTTGGTCCTGTTACAAAAATTTGTATTGCCTAGGGTTCTAAGGCTGAAATTTTTGCATATTAACATGCAGTCTCATTCTGTAGAGAAACAAGCCTGTTTTGTTTGATATGAGAAGTTCCACTATAATTAATGATTACTGATTTGATCAGGGACAATTTTTGAACTATAAAATTAATGGTTTGGACTTGCAGGGTGCTGTTGAGAATGTTCTGGAACGCAGTACACATGTGCAGCTAGCAGATGGATCAATTGTTCAAATTGATGATCCATGTAGGCAGCTATTACTGTTGCGACTAATAGAAATGAGTTCAAAGGGATTGCGTTGCTTGGGTTTGGCATATAAGGATGACTTAGGAGAGTTCTCAGACTACTATGCAGAGAGCCATCCTGCTCACAAGAAGCTGCTTGATCCTGTTAACTACTACTCCATTGAAAGTAACCTAGTTTTTGTAGGGGTTGTTGGTCTCAGAGTGAGTGCTCCCAGAACATTAGTCTGGATTAGTTGCCAGTGGCAATATTGTAAATGTTGATTCTATTTTCTGATTGGAACAGGATCCTCCTCGTGATGAAGTATACAAAGCAATTGAAGATTGTAGAGAAGCTGGCATTAAGATTCTGGTGATCACTGGAGATAATAAATCAACAGCTGAGGCTGTTTGTCGGGAAATTCGACTATTTCCTAGTGGTGAGGACCTTAGAGGAAGAAGCTTTACAGGTAAGGAGTTCATGTCTCTTTCCTCTGCAAAACAGAACGAGATTTTGTTAAAACCTGGAGGGTTGGTTTTTTCTCGCGCTGAGCCCAAGCACAAACAAGAAATTGTAAGGATGCTGAAGGAAAGGGGTGAGATTGTTGCAATGACTGGTGATGGTGTGAATGATGCACCTGCACTGAAGTTAGCTGATATTGGAGTCGCAATGGGCATCACTGGAACTGAGGTAACATGTCTAACCATTTGTAATTTTTCTGAAATACCTCACCCTTTTACAAAGGGGACAGTTGCCTGACATACTGGGAGATGGAACCATCTTTTGACGGGTCTTTACTTGGAAGATCTACTGTTAAAGTCAAATCCAACCTGAAACATCATAATGGTCTAGACTCAAAGTGATATCTATTACCATTCCATGTCATCAATACAACATGAGTGTCCTTATGGATTCCAAATGAGTACTCAGATGTTCATCAATCATGCCTGAACAAGTCTGGTCTTTCAACATCTTTAATAGTATAAAATGATTGTTCAGCATACTGTTATGATCTGGAAAAGAATGAATTCAAAGGATTCTTCAGCATGATCTCTCAAAGATTAAGACATATTGAAACCTTGTTTTGTTGCATCCCATGCTTGACATTTCAGGTCGCAAAGGAAGCGTCAGACATGGTTCTTGCAGATGACAACTTCAATACCATTGTTTCTGCTGTTGCTGAGGGTCGCTCAATTTATAATAATATGAAAGCTTTCATCAGGTATGCTGCTGACATGCAAGAATGAATCTCCAAGCACCCCTTTTTGTAGGCTTAGCCCTTGCTACCAACTACTTCCACAAACAATTGCTTCTTATTTACCACTTTCCTTGCCATGGTATTTGCACATATGTAAAATGGAATATTGCATTTAATTCAGTAGCCAATTTTCTAACTTCCCTCATAAGGTATACATAATTCCAAGTTCTTAAGGCATTATTCCTTAACCCATCCACCAGCACTTTTGAATTACCCCCTACCATAATATTCGTGTAATTAAGGGAACTTCCCAATCTTTAACCTTGTAATTAAAACTGTGGCATAACCAAGTCCAATAGGTCCCGATAAAAAGAGCCATCATAGAAACATTACAACTCCTAAAGACACCTCCAAACCTGGTCCTTTGTTTGTTTCCAATTAGTTACAAAAAGTTGCTTCCTTGCCATGCAGGTATATGATATCATCTAATATTGGAGAAGTCATCTCGATCTTCTTGACAGCTGCACTGGGCATACCAGAATGTTTGATACCAGTACAGCTGCTTTGGGTCAATTTAGTCACTGATGGCCCACCTGCAACAGCTCTTGGTTTTAACCCTGCAGATGTTGATATCATGCGGAAACCACCCCGCAAGAGTAATGATGCACTTATCAATTCTTGGGTTCTTTTTCGTTATATGGTGAGTACTGGGTACTTGATTCTTAAAAAAAAAAATTAGCATAAAATATGGAAATACGTTTTTAACAGTACTGGGTTATGTAGACTGTGTTTGGCAATGCTTCTGGGAATGTTTCTATTATATTTCTTTCTTGGGGAGAAATGCAAGAAAAATGTTTTCCTAGCAATATTATCAAATTCCACCTAAATTCCAGATTTTTTACCATAAAATATTTGCATACTCTTAGATCTAGGAATCATCACATTGATGGCTGGCCTCTTATATTTATTTCCCATGACCAACAGTGACCTTTGAATATATGATATTAACCTTGTGACAGATGATCTTCCTTGCTGCTACTTGCATGGTTTTGTTCACTATTTAATTGTAGCAATTGATTGAAATAATTAGCACTAGCTGGTCGAAGCTAATTCAGGGGACATTATTTGGTATAATGTAAAATCTTATCCACTCCACCCTTCCCAAAGACCCCAGACAGCTGAGACTAACATTGGTAATGGCCGTTTTTGGGTCGAAGCTAATACAAGTTATTTGTCATGCATCCATGTGGTGGCTTATACATACACCATGCATGCATGCATCCAGAAGAATATATATATATATAGGATGTTAAAATTCTTTTGTCATGGTCACCATTCTAATTACCGTTTCAACGTTGGCAGGTAATCGGTTCATACGTTGGGATTGCAACTGTTGGCATATTTATTTTGTGGTACACCCAGTCTTCCTTTCTGGGCATCGATCTGGTCAGTGATGGACACACGCTAGTCAGCTTGTCTGAGCTCCGCAATTGGGGGAACTGCCCCTCGTGGTCAAATTTTAGTGTGGCCCCATTCACTGTCAGTGGTGGGCGTGTGATCACTCTCTCAAATCCCTGCGACTACTTCTCTACCGGTAAAGTGAAGGCAATGACTCTGTCTTTATCCGTATTGGTGGCGATCGAGTTGTTCAATTCTTTCAACACCTTGTCGGAAGATAACAGCTTGGTCAGGATTCCACCTTGGAGGAACCCTTGGCTCTTGGTAGCAATGTCAGTATCATTTGGACTCCATTTGTTTATACTCTATGTGCCATTCCTTGCCAACGTCTTTGGCATTGTCCCACTAAGTCTGAACGAGTGGTTACTGGTAATCTTGGTCTCCTCGCCCGTGGTGCTCGTCGATGAGATTCTCAAATTTGCCGGGAGGAATCGGAGATGGAGATCCTATAAGAATAATAATAAGAAAGATTGATAGTTTCAAGCTTGGGCATCACTCCTTGTCAGGACAATTAAAAGGTGCATATATTTTTATTTTCTAGTTTATACATATTCTTTAACAGCTGGGTTTCCTTTTAGATAGTACTGCGTAGGAAGAAGCAACACTTGTGTTTGTCTATATATGATGAACTGGAAGAAATGGAAATGTATGTATTTCACTATATCATAGATGCCTGCTGCCTCCCTGAAAAAGCAATAAAGCATCAGAATGCAGTGCTGATGCCAGGTGGGCAACGCAAGGGGTGAGGTTGGGTTTCTCTAGAGCTGTGTTTGGTTGGAATTGGATGGAAGGAACGCGCGCCAAAGTTGAAAGTTGAACCTGTAGCAGTAGCATGCAATATTGCATTTAACGTAGCTTTGCAATAACCAGCCAGAGTTGGTCAGCTCCACCAGGGACAGCCGGACAGGGAGAGCCAGCCTCAGCCTCACCTTACATCTCAGTCATATTATATCTCATTAGATGGCATGAAATTCCTGAGAAGCGATCTTCATGGCTTCTATTTGCTGCTTGTTTGGTGTTGTTTTGCTGGCAAAAACAAATCCTGTTGGTTGTTATAATTATCATTTTCTAATGTAACTATGTTATTGTAGTTACCACAGCTCTTATATGGTCAAAAGAACTAGAATGTTTGAATAACATTATACTCTAAAAACATAGGGTTACGTTGTTAATATCTAACAACAAAAAAAATCAAATGAGTATTTTGATTTTGGAATTCCTCATGCAATTGACTTTTTACAATTTATTACCTAAAGTTTTGTTTGGATAAGCTTTTGTGTTTTTGTTTTTTATGACTTGAAAAAAAGAAGCATGAAGTATGTTTGGTGCTTCTACTGTGCCACAATCAACACAAAAATGTATTTGCTTTACCATAGTTGGCAACTTGGCATGAAAAAGTCCAAGTTACATCCCTTTTAAGCTGCCTTCAGCATCAAATCAGCCGTACCACGTGGTACGGTTCATAAAATAATTATTAAAAATGACTATGATTATGATATTTTGTACGAATAAATATCACGTGGAATATTTTTGTCATGAATTTTTATGTCATGTGTCAACTATGAAATTAAGGGAAAATGACTGTTTAGCCTACCTCAGAATTCCTAACCTCACCTTACTGGTGGGATGAATCTCGATACGTGCATCAATGCTAAATTCACGGGTAAGATATGATTTATAGGAAGGGGCTATTAGTAGACTATGGGGACTGTAATTTCAGATTTTTGTGGTGGAGTACAATATCCACGCAATCAAAGCACGAAACATCGTATCCTTGTTTCTTGTTTTTTTATTGTGGAAGTGTTTTTGCTTTGGAAAATACACATTATCACACTCTGAAACAGTTTCTTTTTTTTTCTGCCCAAAGCACAAAAGTATTTAAAAAAATATATCAAAAAACAACCAAAGTTTCTAAGATCGATTTTTTTTCAAGATTTATTGATTTTTAAAGTGGGAGAAATTGAAAGAGGTCTTTCTTTTAAGCAAAAATAACTATTGTCTAATGATACTTGGAAGGACATTAGATATGCTTGATTTATAGGCTTGTATGTCAGTGTTTTCTATTGTTTACAAGTAAAGGGAGCATTTTACAACATGTATGTTTTTGTTTTCATTTATTTTTGAAAATAAAAATACAAGCATGTTCTTGAACCATGTTTTTATTTTGAAAAGCAAATGCATGTTAGTTTTGTTTCAAAAAAACAATGCATGTTTTTTAAACCATAATTTTTGCAATATAAGAATTATATAATTTATGAACATGGTATTAAATAACCAAATGAAAACATGTTCTTCAAACTAGAGATTTCAAGAAGATGTTTAGTTTCAATTTTAGAAACAAAAAACAAATATACAACCAAGAATACATTTTCTGTGTTTTAGATTTAAGAACCAACTTGTTTTCAAATCAAGGTTCAAAATATTGATACACCTCAATACAGGGGAAGAGTGTATCTGTACTTTGAACCTTCCCCTTTATATATTTTTTTAGTTTTTTTGTTCAAAATTGAAAGGGAGGTTGCAATTAATGTTCATTAACGTTTAAAACAACCTTTTTTTCAAAAATATCCTAAAAACAATGTATCAATACCTTATACCAATATTTTTGGAACTACCAATAAGAAAAACAATTCACATTGGAGATCAGTCCCAAAATATAATTCAGATTAGCTGAATGCATTAACTATGTAGTGGGCTGTGGAACCAATGACAGCACCCTATGCCAGTGATAAAATACATGGGGCCCACAGTGAGGGGTTGAATGATTGTAGGCCCCATGTATCAACCCTGGTTTAGTTTTATTTTTACAATTACTAACAAGAAAAAACAATTCACATTGAAAAAACAATTCACATTGAAAAAACAATTCACATTGAAAATCATCCCCAAAATTCGGAATAGCTGAATTCATTAGAGATGTAGTGGGCTGTGGAACCAATGATAAAAACCCACAGTCCACACCAGTGATAAAATACATGGGACCACAGTGAGAGATTGAATAGTTATGGGCCTCATGTATCAACCCTGATGGCGATGCGATTTGATCCCCGAGTCCCTGCAATAACCGGGCCAGAGGACTTAACAGTTGAATGAATTACAAGTTTTCTTAAATCAGTAACTCCATGTACTTTTTTTTATGGATAGTAGCTCCATGCACTTGTTCAGACCTTCAACCATTACTTGGATTTCTAAGTCAGGCCTGCCTTATATTTTGCATCATAAGCCTCCTGGTGTGAGAATAGCATTGTTGGGCAACTGGTTTGGGTTGAAGTTCAGATTWGGGCTAAGATTGAGGTATCAGATTCGACTCGATTACACCAAATTATATTGGAAAAGATGATAGCCTAATAATTTGACAACAAACTTGTTCTTTTGTTTTATGAAGCTCTATAATTGGTTCCGGTATTAACCGGTCGGGTCAGAGCAGTTGGAACAGGCCCAATCCCAATCCCATTATAATTGAGACAGAAATGGAGATCAAGAATAAAACTCAATTAATAATCACGAGCCAAAAAGTAGATCCAAACATTGTGTAATAGGGTCAGATTGGTCAAGAGTCAAGACCATTAATAGCCTTATAACAGAAGGCAAAGACATCCATAATTCCCTTTCCTGAACAGTAAATGCACATCCATTGTTGTTGGGTTTATTCAATCTGTGAATTTGCTTCCAGCCTGTGGTTTTAAATGATTCTTGCAATTGCTGTAATAATAGGAAAACATGGGAGATCTTGTTTATGCAAGTACAATGGAAGCCAAATTGTGTTTCTTTGTAATTCGATTAGCACAGGAAAAACTTTATGCAATCTTTTTTGTTGAATTAGGAGTGGTGTTGTATGGTATACCCAAGGTTCGAAACATCAATACCTATTGTACCCATATGTATTGTATTGGGAGCTTCCTGATACACCCCYACAGAGGGTGTATYGGGGTTTTGACCGCTTCAAGGGGTAGACGGACCTTAAACTGGCCCCTCTGAACCAGATTTGAAAAAAAAAAAAAACTACCGATACACCTCTATCATATCGGGCATATCGATATTTTGAACCTTGGCTCTACCCTTTGGACATCTTTCTGTACATTCTCTCATGCACCATGTACCCTACTGTTTTAAATGTATGAACAGTTACCTTTCTCAAAAAAAGGAGTAAAAAAGGGGTTGAGACTAGAGGAGTCCCACAAAATCCCATACCAGTTAGTGCTGTCAATGGTCCAGGTCTGGTTCGGGACAGGATAGAACCATCCCAAACCAATTGCTGACCCAGAACCAACCAGACCCTAACAGTTCTACAAAATTAGAACCGGTACCAAACCAGCGGGTTATTGGGACAATAGGGTCTGGCCCGATAAGAACCAATTAAATTAAAAAACTGTTAAGATCTGTAGTTTTTGGTTAAAAAAAAAACATTTTATTCAAATGACGTTTTAACAGAGATGAAATGCCAAGAAATAGAGCAAAGAAAACACAACAGACAATTCAACAACTACAGCCTACATACGATTGAACAAAAAATAAAGCGCAAAACAACAATAAAGAAAAACAACCAATTACTTTTAATCAGTTTCACTGTTGGCGTATTGATGCGTTGAATTCTGCTGATATGTTTGCTTTACCCATACAAAATTGTTCATTTCTTGACTGCAATTACCTGGCAAGGCTGGCTTCATCAATGAACAAGTGCCTGTTCAGTCGTTTGTCTTTTCACTGTATTAATCTAGGGAAGCAAATCCATGGATATGTTATTTAAAGTATGAATCAATTCTGATACAAGTATGGAGAACTCACTTTGTAGCATTCCAAATCGTATCAAATTGGTGTCTTGACACCCAAGCAAGTCTGTCTCTACAACCAATGAGAAGGGCAACTGCAACTTAGGGCTCTAGTCTCCTCTTTGTCTGAATCCTCTCCGTCGAAGTCAACAAATTCAATCATCATATTCAACCAACTGACCATAGAACTTGACCTCTAGTCTTCAAATTGTTTGCTCAGGTTGAAGCACAAGCACTCCTGAGTCATGATTCTTCTTCAAACAATCGACTAATCAAACATCAAATGGCAATGGGAAACACTCAAGTCTCAAACACAATTACTCTTCTAATAGAACTTGACAAAGGAGTGAAGAAAGAGTTATGTCCTTTCTAATGTCTAGTATCCTTTCTCCTATTCAACAACGATGTCAACAAACAAAATGGAAACCTGAAGCCAAAGCAACCAATTAGGTTTTGCTTTGCATCTTCTCATTCCTGTCTTTTATATTGACCACCACATTTACAATTAATGAATTATAGACATTACTGTAGTACAAATTTCAAGAATGCCATGAAAAGCTATTAAGACAATAGCAGGTACTTATCTTATTATTAAATATTTAATTGGTTTGGGTCTGTATCGGTTCGGGACAGCCAAAACCAGTCTCGAATCGATAATAATCAGGACACAAAAAGAACCAGAACCAACCCAACAGGACAAAACTCCAAACCAGAACCGACATAATTGGTTTGGTTGATACAGTTGTGTCAGGTAGATCCAATCCATTGATAGCCCTAATACCAGCACTGCTGGCATATYAGTAGCTTTGGGCTATAAAAACTCAAATGGCATCTGACCATGAGGCACAGTGACATGCACTTCATAGTTACCACTTATCAATCAAAAAATAAAACGGGGTTTTAGCAATACGGATACTATTTTCTTATTGTTGGAAACCCAAAAGTACCTCTGACTTTATTATCTATAACAGCCTTACTAYGAGGCTATGAGCTCACATACCTTGCTGCTCCATATCCAGCTCAGTCTAGGGCCTGTAGGTACCTAGATTTTTTCCTTAAAATGCAGAAACAAATTCCAAACTTCTGATACTGCAAATGGCAAGGTTCCTTTCAAGGACTGCACCTAATAACCTGATTTGACATGCTTGATAAGATTTCAAGTTAACTTCATCATCTGCCACTGTTTTATTTTTTGAATTCACATCCCTTGTTCCATATCTTGCTCAATTTATACATCTAAATCAAATTGAAAAACTTTCCTTAAAGACTCAATACTAAGACTCCCGTGGTATTCTTGGGTCTCACTTCCAGAATGGAAAACATAGCATTGGAAATGGGTATCTCCAATTTGAAATGTCCAAGTAACACAGTTCAAAAGGAAGACCATGCTAAACTGGGTTGGAAAAAGTGAAACCAATCCCAACCCAAAC